GTTCGCTCCCAAGCAGAAATTCTGCTGGGGCATGACAGGATTGAGGAGCCACAAAACAGTGGTGGGCCACTGAAACTATAGGAAATTACAAGAAAGACATCAGGCTTGCTTCCCTTTGAAATCAGAAGAGGTCAAGCACCACTATAGGCTCAGAATTAGCATAAACCACCCTGATACAGTGAAAAGAAGTCTTCCTAGCAGTGTTCATGAAACAGCTGTAACCAAAAAGTCATTTCTCGGAGGGGAACTAAGACCAAATGACTCATATGCATGGAAATGACACCTACACATAAAAACACAAGGACTGGTGTGCAGCGGTTACCCTGGACTGGTAAGTACAAATGTAACAATTTTAGCCCCAACAGAAAGCAGCTTATCATTCAAAGGATGACGAATGGTGCACAATAGCTACACACATCAATGAATAAAGTTGAAGGTTCCCAACAATTTGGGGCTGCATGTCCACAAAATAAGTTGATATTTGGTCAAAATTCTTGCACCATGACACCAATCCGGGGTAGGCAACATGGAGGCCTTTCCCCAGCATTCAGGAGACCTTCACCACCTCCTCTCTGCTGTGCTGCTGGTGCCAAATGGTAGGGCTTGGATGTGAAGAGGGGAATGTGATGGGAAGACTTTGTGATGGGGGGAATCTGGTATGATGGGAAGACTTGGTGATGGGGAGAATGTGATGTGATGGGAATACTTGGTGATGGGGAGAATGTGATGTGATGGGAATACTTGGTGATGGGGAGAATGTGATGTGATGGGAATACTTGGTGATGGGGGAAATCTGATGTGATGGGAAGACTTTGTGATGGGGGGAATCTGGTATGATGGTGAAGACTTGGTGATGGGGAGAATGTGATGTGATGGGAATACTTGGTGATGGGGGAATGTGATGTGATGGGAATACTCTGGTGATGGGGAGAATGTGATGTGATGGGAATACTTGGTGATGGGGGAAATCTGATGTGATGGGAAGACTTGGTGATGGGAGGAATCTGATGTGATGGGAAGACTTGGTGATGGGGAAATCTGATGTGATGGGAAGACTTGGTGATGGGGGGAATCTGATGTGATGGGAAGACTTGGTGATGGGGGAAATCTGATGTGATGGGAAGACTTGGTGAAGGGGGAAATCTGATGTGATGGGAAGACTTGGTGAAGGGGGAAATCTGATGTGATGGGAAGACTTGGTGAAGGGGGAAATCTGATGTGATGGGAAGACTTGGTGATGGGGGGAATCTGATGTGATGGGAAGACTTGGTGATGGGGGGAATCTGATGTGATGGGAAGACTTGGTGATGGGGGGAATCTGATGTGATGGGAAGACTTGGTGATGGGGGGAATCTGATGTACTGGGAAGACTTGGTGATGGGGGGAATCTGATGTGATGGGAAGACTTGGTGATGGGGAGAATCTGATGTGATGGGAATACTTGGTGATGGGGGAAATCTGATGTGATGGGAAGACTTGGTGATGGGGAGAATGTGATGTGATGGGAATACTTGGTGATGGGGGAGAATGTGATGTGATGGGAATACTTGGTGATGGGGGAAATCTGATGTGATGGGAAGACTTGGTGATGGGAGGAATCTGATGTGATGGGAAGACTTGGTGATGGGGGAAATCTGATGTGATGGGAAGACTTGGTGATGGGGGGAATCTGATGTGATGGGAAGACTTGGTGATGGGGGAAATCTGATGTGATGGGAAGACTTGGTGAAGGGGGAAATCTGATGTGATGGGAAGACTTGGTGAAGGGGGAAATCTGATGTGATGGGAAGACTTGGTGAAGGGGGAAATCTGATGTGATGGGAAGACTTGGTGATGGGGGGAATCTGATGTGATGGGAAGACTTGGTGATGGGGGGAATCTGATGTGATGGGAAGACTTGCTAATGGGGGGAATCTGATGTGCTGGGAAGACTTGGTGATGGGGGGAATCTGATGTGATGGGAAGACTTGGTGATGGGGAGAATCTGATGTGATGGGAATACTTGGTGATGGGGGAAATCTGATGTGATGGGAAGACTTGGAGATGGGAGAAATCTGATGTGATGGGAAGACTTGGTGATGGGGAGAATCTGATGTGATGGGAATACTTGGTGATGGGGGAAATCTGATGTGATGGGAAGTCTTGGTGATGGGAGGAATCTGATGTGATGGGAAGACTTGGTGATGGGGGAAATCTGATGTGATGGGAAGACTTGGTGATGGGGGGGAATCTGATGTGATGGGAAGACTTGGTGATGGGGGAAATCTGATGTGATGGGAAGACTTGGTGATGGGGGGAATCTGATGTGATGGGAAGACTTGGTGATGGGGGGAATCTGATGTGATGGGTAGACTTGGTGATGGGGGAAATCTGATGTGATGGGAAGACTTGGTGAAGAGGGAAATCTGATGTGATGGGAAGACTTGGTGATGGGGGGAATCTGAGGTGCTGGGAAGACTTGGTGATGGGGGGAATCTGATGTGATGGGAAGACTTGGTGATGGGGGGAATCTGATGTGATGGGAAGACTTGGTGATGGGGGGAATCTGATGTGCTGGGAAGACTTGGTGATGGGGGAATCTGATGTGATGGGAAGACTTGGTGATGGGGGGAATCTGATGTGATGGGAAGACTTGGTGATGGGGGGAATCTGATGTTTTGGGAAGACTTGGTAATGGGGGGAATCTGATGTGATGGGAAGACTTGGTGATGGGGGGAATCTGATGTGATGGGAAGACTTGGTGATGGGGGGAATCTGATGTGATGGGGAACTTTGACATATAGAGGGAACTCTGATATGATGGGAACACCTATGATGGGAAGGGAGACTTTTGTTATGAAGTTAATTTCAGCAATGCATCAAGGCATTTGTGTGCATCACCACAGGCTCAGGTTTCCCATACATCAGTAACATTCTATTTTGTAGACCAGGGCACCTCAGAATCTCGCATACTTTTAAAGGATGCCGTGACTAAGAAGAGGTTGAGAAACACTGTTTCAACATCATCAAGGCAGTCTGGGAATACTTGCAAAGAGAGAAGAAAGTAGGCCAGCCAAAATCTGACTGTAGTGGTGGAATTGAGGCATGTTGCTCCAGAATTCTCTGCACAATCTACCCTGCATCATACCTTCAAAACTGTATGCAAGTGTATATCTGAGGGAATTTCTGTGTTAAAGAGAAAGGGTATTCACTTCAAATATTAATTTAAATTACGTTTGTTTTTCCAATATTATAAATTTTCATTTTAAATTTTATAGAGGTGCGTAAAACCTTTGCATTTTCTTTTAAACATACTTAAAAATTAGATTTACGTATACTGCTAAGTGATCCTATGAGAAAGTATAGAGTGAGAAGCTTAGATATTCTAATTCTGTAGCAATGCTATTACAGGTTTAAATATATAAAGTGCAGCGCTATCTCTAAATATACTAAATACATATACATATAAAGTGCAAAAACTGACTGTTAAAGTGCTGACCCTGAGGAAGTCACGTGTTATCGTGACGCAATGCGTCGGTACGCGAGGAGGATTCTGGGAGCGCGGTGACGTAATTTCCGGCGTGGCGGCCATATTTGAAATCCCTGTATCTTAATACCCATGCAGGAGATTTATAGCATGGGGTATTGAAGGCTTGTGAGGAGAATACAAATGTGAGTGGGCAATCTTTTTTATACCTAATTTACAAATAAACAGGATTACACTATGTGATTCTCTCTTGTGTCTATATATGAACTGAGGAGGAGACTGCTGATAGAGGATAAGAGGCGAGGAAGGTCCTGGTGAGCTATTAAAGTGGTGTGTCCTGTTTAAAAAGCAAGCTGACCCTGTGGGGTCGTGGCAAGGAGGTGAGAGGCCATCACGGCTAAAGTGTGGATTCACGAAGTGTGGTCACGTGTGACACATGCATGAAGATCTAAAAAAGTTTTTCTGTTGGAAAAAGTTTTTTTGTTGCGTTTGAACATTACAATATATTTTTTTGTAGATTTTTTATTATACCATCACATATAGGGATGGTTGGAGTGATTATGATTGTCACTAATTGCACTTTATTCGTATGATTTGTAATACACGGGTTGCACTAAGTATTTTGTAAATGCATGATTTTGCACATTTATTTAGTATTGTGTGTTAATATTTGGAGCACTTTAACAGTCAGTTTTTGCACTTTATATGTATATGTATTTAGTATATTTAGAGATAGCGCTGCACTTTATATATTTAAGTATTTACTTTGGTTGGTAAGGAGTTTTGTGTCAGCAGCTTGGTGAATAGGGCCCCATTCCTAGCGCAGGAAGTTCTTGCATTCAGACTATTACAGGTTTGTTTCCCTTTTAAAAATACAGATGCATAGACCCTAGTACATTACAACAGGCTGGGTTAATACAGAGGCCAAAGTGGCATCTGCCTTTGCAGAGACAGTGGGAGGGAGGGGCACAGCTGGGGCTCCAACATCACCACTCTCCCAATGTAAGTTCCTAGGGTGAGGTTGCAAAGAAATCTTTGCAGGCTTCATTTATGAATATATTAAACTAATGTTGCTAGATAAATTCCAAAAATTAAAAAAAGACATTTCCTTCTAAAGTTTAAGACAAAACTTTTTTTCTTGTTTTAGGTAGGATGGAGAGGGATTAAAGCGCCTGTCAGTTTGTTTGTTTTTTTTTTGCCATCTGTGTCCCCATTGGGAGATTCATCCCTTCTATTTGTCCTGGTGACCGTTATCACCAAAAGTGAATAGAAAATACTAAATTTTGAATGGTCACCAGAAGAGAAATAGTGGGGCCATCTTCCAATGAGGACACTATTTCTGGTGACTATGGAGACTACCAGGGATTTCCCTTAATTTCAGGTATCAAATAAAAAAAAAAAAAAAAAAAAAGAGTCTTCAGTTCTACATTAACCTCTTGCCGACCGCGCATAGCCGAATGACGGCTTCACCGCGGCCGGCCAGTTCTGGGTGGACGTCATACGGACACAGCTGATCACGTGATGTGGTAAAAGGCCAATCACAGCGGCCTTTTACCACCTGATTAGCGGTGTCCAATGACACGCTGATCAGAGGGAAATGCAAGTGCACGCAGTCAGATCGTGAGGAAAGTACTGCCGAGAACCGGTAGTTGTCAGAGCGGGGATCGGCACCGATCATCAGGGCACTGATGATCAGTGCCCTGATGATCGGTGCCCAGCAGTGCCACCCGCAAGTTCCGCACAGCAGTGCGCCCACTATAGCTCCGCCCACCTGTGCCCAGCAGTGCACCCACCTGTGCCCAGCAGTGCACCCACCTGTGCCGCTCTGCAGTGCCACCTACCTGTGCCCAGAAGTGCCACCTACATGTGCCCAGCAGTGGCACCCACCCACTTGTGCCCACCAGTGCCACCCACCTGTGCCCACCCACCAATGCTGCCCACCAGTGCCACCCACCAGTGCAGCCCAGCAGTGCTGCCAGTCAGTGCCACCAGTCAGTGCCCAGGGGTTGTGCCAGTCAGTGCCGCCAGTCAGTGCCCAGCAGTGATGCCAGTCAGTGCCGTCTATCAGTACCCATCATCAGTGTCACCTATCAGTGCCGCCTATCAGTGCTGCATATTAGTGCCGCCTATCCGTGACACCTCATTAGTGCTGTCTATCAGTGCCGCCTATCCGTGACACCTCATTAGTACTGCCTATCAGTGCCCTTTAGTGCTGCCTATCAGTGCCCATCAGTGCCGCCTATCAGTGCCCATCAGTGCTGCCTCATCGACGCACATCAGTGAAGGAGAAAAAAATGCCTGTTTGAAAAATTTTATAATAGAAACAAAGAAACTTTTTTTTTTTTTCAAATTTTTTGCACTTTTTTATTTATAGCGCAAAAGTAAAGCGCCCAGCGGGGCGCAAATACCACCAAAAGAAAGCTCTATTTGTGAGGAAAAAATGATCAAAATTTCATATGGGTACAATGTTGCATGACCGCGCAATTGTCAATCAAAGTGCGGCAGCGCTGAAAGCTGAAAATTGGGCTGGTAAGGAAGGGGGTATAAGTGCCCGGTAGGCAAGTGGTTAAGCAACTTTACAATTTTTTTTAACCAAAAGCACTACTTTTTTTAAAAGTTTGCAGCTCCCCTCATACCCACTATACAGCTAAAAATATGTGGACACGCCTCCGAATTATTAAGTTACACCCCGGTCGCACTGTATGCCTTGGCATACACAAATTGTATGCCAAGTCGCGCCCTATTGTCCTCAATTACAGTGGTCAAATCGGTGCATTTCCAACTTGGTAGGAGCCGTACATGTACTACTTTTGGTATGAGTTGCATACACATCTGTGTCAGATGTCTTAAAAATCGCACCTGAAATCGGCATGTCCCCCGACTTTGAAATCATGAGACTTCACTGTAAGTCGCACAATTTCAAAGTATGGCTTAATGTGACTGGGGTGTTAAGGTGTTTCCAGTGAACAGTACTTTAAAATTACAGCAAAGACAATTAGACAACTGTTCACTTCCAACACTATGGCAGCAGCGTGGGAAAGCCACAGTCATTGTGTGCCCCTGTGTACAAAGCCCAACTACATAGAGACATGGTGTGATGAATTTGGTGTGAAAGAACTGAAGCGGCCTACACAGACCCCTGACTTCAATTATACTAAGGACCATTCCGATAAACTGATACACAAGCTGCGAGCCAGGTCTTCTCATCCAGCATTAGTACCTAATCACACCAAATACTATTTTAGATAAATGGGCACAAATTCCCATAGGCACACTACAAAGTCTTGTGGAAGAGTGGATGAGTGGGGGCTGTTATAGTTCAGGGGGTCAACTTCATATTAATACCCAAGCATATGAAGGTGTGATGGTCCGGGGTCCAAAAACGTTTGGTCATTTATTGTAATTTTAGTTTAATAAATGGAATAAATCACAGAATAAAATTTGTACTTTTGCAAGGGACGAAGAAGGGTAAGCTACCTCAATTTTTAGATAGGAGAAAAAATTTAAGTTATCACAATGCTAAAAAAACTGGTTCTGTTTTACCATTACAATAAAAAAATAACTGCAAATAACCATATGTGTGGCCTGCATAAGAATGCCCATAATTATGTGATGATCATTGTTAGACTGCACCAATAACAATAAACTGGAAATTTGACAGTGTCAATGGACACACTTTGATCTTTGCAGGCAATTGGGCAGTTTCGGAAGTAAAAACTGATCATTCAGTATTAATTGAACAGTATTTGATCCCTGAGATAAGGCCATGGTCAGGTATGCGCACTCTGTGTATTAACATGCAGTTGTGGTCAGAACATATTTTAGAAAATATATTTTTCAAGGAAGCCTTTTCATTTGAACATCATGTAACGTCTATGGCTAGTCTGATACATAGACTAAGCTTGCACCTTTCCCCATTCCACTTACCAGAACTGCACAATTAATTTGGACTAAGAATTCTTAAGTTTGTCTTAATTATTAAATTACTAGTGCTCCATTGCAGTGTACTGAATATATAAAAGTAGAAGTTATGTATTCTTACCATCTAATGTATTATTTTGGACCTGTAACAGAGTACCATTTCCTTGTCCTGTGATCAGTATGGGTATTTCAGAAACAATCTTACAGACATACAGTCCTTTATCTTCCTCTGTGATGGATTCCAGTCTCATCACTGCTGTGTTATTGGTAATTTTATAGTAACTTCTGTTTTGGTTCATCAGCTTAAATGTATTCGTATCATTTGGACTTGTCCACAAACCACTTGACAAGAGAGTTCCATTGTCGTCCCATGTATATAACTTGTATTTTCTCCATTCCACTCTGATCCGTTGGGCATCTGTAATATTCCAGCTACAGATCACAGAGACAGACTGCCCTTTAAGTATGTGAAATTCATTTGGAACCTGGGTGATAATCAGCTTTCCACAGACAAAATCTGTTACAGCAAAAGAGAGGTTTAGTTTCTAACAGAAGTTTAAAAAAGTAGAAAAGTAGACTATGCTGACAACTATTTCCTTGTTTTTTTTTTTGCAACATGCAAGACAAAACCTTCTAATGCTCTCCCAGCCTGCAATAGTCCATAAAAAAGTATTAATGACACTAGTGCCCCTCAATGAACTAAAGATCAATACTACAAACAGGGATAAAGGTCCAGAGTACCGTAGGGCTCAGCTGTAGGTAGAAATGATGGGACGAAAAATGCACTGTAGTAAAAAATTTAATAAAACAGTATATTGTATTTATTAAGAAAATTAAGGTAATTAAAATTATTCAAAAAAGTAACCTAAAGAGGACTATATATATATATATATATATATATATATATATATATAAAAGTAGTGTCTGGTCATTTATTAACTCTAACTGTATATTTGTAGCTTTGATGTAAACTTTGCTAACATAAGCTGTAAATACTTTTTCAAAAAATATTTTCTAAGAAAAATTAAATTATCTTTTCCATCAAAAATCAATCATTGTGACAAATCACATCATATCTGTTTGTCAATAATGTCCTAATACATTGCAAGCTTCTACATATTTCTTCCTTAAGGGCACCAGGCTATTCCTCTTAAAATACAAATAAAGCTCATTTTCTATTGTTACAGCAATATACTCTTTTAATTTTTTTTTTTTTTTAATTTTATATTTTCAACAAGCATACAGTCAAGGAAAGTTGCACGACTCTACATTTGCATACTTTGCATCTTTATGGAAAACAAAATAGAATTCAATAGCATGGAGAATGGGAACATGTGTATATAAGTTTTCCGAGGCCCTAAGAGCTGGTATTCTCTCCGACTGCATAACTTTGTTGTTTTTTGTTTTTTTACACAGCATATTCTGTATTAATGAATATGTACAAAACTCAGGACTGTCTATCTGCCTTGCAAATGATGTTTTTTCTTTTAAAATTAAGTTTAAAAAAAAACAATTGTTAAGAAAAATTCACAAGGATAAATAACTCCATAAATATTGGGGCACTTTCTTCAGAGGCATGCTATGCGTGTAAAAAAAATTACCTCTAAAATAAAAATTGTCTATTTCAATATTTTTTATGGTAGTCCAATAAAATTCAGAAGCAAAAATATCAGCTTTAAACGTAAACTATAAGTATTTATTCGGTTATTAAATACTGTGGGGACATTTCTCAGGGATGTTCTTTTTTGGGTCATTTTGATTCAAAAACTGTAGCCTGACAAAAGCTACTGCTTTTTTTTTTTACTGTGTTATTTCACTATTCCAGTGCTGAAATATATTTAGTACTAGAAGCATTGCAGCAACACGTCTATTACAATTACTATGTGTGTGATAATTTCATCCCTGAACAGCTGGCTGTGAGTATCACTGAGGTGCCCAATAGTGGACAGTAGCAAAAAAGAGCCATTTGAGGCAGTCATTTTGTGAGACAAACAAGACAGTATTTATTTTTATTTAACCTTTATCCCAAAAGAAAAAAAATGTTTGCTGTAACTGTTTATAAAGTGTTAGATGTACTAGCAGAATTAGCTACACTAACACATTGAAGCTCAATTCCAGCTAACACTCCCCTCCCACCACACTGACATTGATGGTGTTTCTGTTGCTCCTTCATCCAGAGTGGGGGAACTCTAATACAGGAGGTGTGTTACTGGCCAGATCACAAGGTGAAAACGGGGAAAAAGCCTAAAAAAAAAAAGCTAATGCAGTCATCATATTTTTGGTTTTGGAGGAAAGTTCTACATGTTCCGAAAAAATGTGAAAACTATTGTGGCATGTAAAGTGGATAAAAAAAGTTAAGATTAATCAAACTGACTCAAAGCAAAATAACACACTTTGATTTGAACACTAAATTATTCAATTAACATTGCTCACAAAGGAGTTAAAGTGGTAGTAATGGAAAACACGTATTCTAAGTAGGTCCTGAGGTTTGATTGATCAATGGAAGAACTATTTTATCAGACCCACAACATATTTATATTGAACATGAACAACTGTTATTAACTTGATAGACAAATAACTATGAATCTGAATTAAACCCTCTCTGTTGTCTATGTCCCTACTGGAGAAATTCACCTCTCTATTTGTACCAGTGACCATTGTCATGGTAGTGAGAAATCTAAAATTCTAGAGTTGTCACCAGAACAAGAGGCAAGGGAAAATCTGTCAAAGGAGACACCTGCTCTGGGGCATCTCTTTAGTTTACAGACATTTCCTCTCCTTTCCTGTTGTGTCTCTAAGACAGGAAATTAAAGGAATTCTCCAAAGGTCACTAATACTTGTTTTACTGTTCCTTACGTTATTCAAAATAAAAAAAATTAACTGTAATACTTTAATAAATTGTTTGGTTCTTAGCAGGAATAGGAATTTACAGTATTTGTAAGAAATGCCCTGTTATTATTATCAAACTTTTTGTGCATGGCATAACAAAGCAGTAGGTTATTTTTTCTTATTAGTT